TATTTATATTTATCTCGAGGTAAAGTGAGATCGCTCGTCGATTCGGTTACCGGACCGTCCGTAGCTTACACGAGCGATGGGCGCGTATGCCGAATTGTACCGTTAGTAATTCAGGTAGAAAATCTGGGCAATAGTGGCGGACAGTGCCGAAGGTCGCACACACAAGCCAACAGGTGATGATCTTGGGCTGACATGCACGCATTCGCGAGCGCGCGCGCGCGCACGGCCACTCGCATATACACGGGAAGGCAAACACATACAGTGCACCGGGGCGTAGTTGGCCGTCATTGTTTACTACAGGCACATCAGGTGCTGTAATATAATATTGAATAAGCTGATTCAACGGTAATGTGACGAGTATCTGCAATAATCCCGGCGGATATTATTGTTAGATGTAGACTTATTGTTCTGCAGTTGAGGCAGCCGTTAATGGAATGGCTTAAGTCCTATTAGATTTTACAACTGGTTTCGATAATTATTTGCACGAAGGACACATTGGATTTTGATGCGTCCTATTACCGATATCGTCTTTCGTTATGTGCGTCCGTTTGCCATGACCGCACATTATATACCGAATAAAGAACGAAAATTCTACCTACGTTTGCCTTTTAGTTTCTATATATTTTAAACTAAACGCCCATTGCACTTGCGTCCACGAGCAGCTTAAATACTTTCACGAGGCTGCGAATTTTTATAAGCATGTTTAGTCATAAAGGATATCTGCTTCTTTGTTCTTTTTCTTTTCTTGTTTTCTTTTATTTTTTGTTCTTTCTTTTGTTAATGCACTTTGACTATCAATTTTTAACCAAAGATTTTCAAAATCCATTGCGATTTTGCGAATTTTATATCGTTTATAGATAGAATGTGGGTTTTATTTCCGCTCTTTTATTCAATCCTTCGAGGCGCGTTGCAATATCTTTGTTGCGATTTCGATTTATTTCAAATCTTACAGCTACGCCATGCTTTGGCTAATTTCAATCATTTTAATCAATCGTCATCCCGTTTTTGTATTTATTTAGCGAAGGATTTTGTTTTTCAATCTCATTCGTTCAAATAACATTTGTAAAATAACTTTTTATAAATAGTTTTTATAATCAAATCGTTCTTTTGTTTCTTATATATACACTTTAACATTTATTGACTTCTGCTATTTATAAAATTATGTGCTCGCGTGCATTGGTGTAGGCGTATGCGTATGCGCGCACACGTGCGTGCACGTGTGAAGAATCATGCATGCGTGCGTTCGTGCACGGCAGACGCGCGTGCGCACACCCGCAAGTGCGACTATACGTGTGCGTGCAAAATGCTTAAAAATTTGTTTAATTAATTAATAAATGAAAAGATTTATCGTTATATTTCAAACAAAAAGATAATTAGATTTTTTTTTGTTTGTTTCACGTAAGAGGTGAGGGTATGGTAACGAGGATATAAAAATATTACATGTTTATTCAGTTAACATTTAATGTCATTATAAACATCCACTTTCATTTAAAAAATATATATAAATACATTGATTTTCAATAAATTACTTATGCGCTTATGTATAAACAAATGAATTTTTCAAATAAATATCTTCATTAGTATAAAATCTCTTTACAATAAATATAAAATTCTAAGATTAAAATATAAAAAATATCTATGAGAAATAGACTGTTGAAATACTTGATCGCTAAGAGTATAAACTGTTGTGTATTAAATTCCATATCACATAATGTTAATAATGCACGTAGTTAAGGCACTACATAAAAGTATATTTTTTAAGTTATACTTCTCAATATTATTGGTGGGGCTATTAAAGCCACTGCTCCAATTAAGTATGACGTTGAACTTCCAAGACTCCAAAAAGCTAAGTAGAACAGCCTTTATTATTTCAATTTTCCATTTCTTTAAAATAATGCTTCTAGTTTTCAAATAAAGACTTAATTTTTGCTACTTTTAACATAGAATATGAATTTATAAAGTAAATTCACTGTTTTGCAGTTAATTAAGACTCTTTTCTTTCTTGTATGGTATCATCATCATTATATTGTCATTTTTTTCAGATTTAAATTAAGTTTTTATTTTTAATCATCGTTGCCTTAATTATTCTTTACCTATAGAAGCAACGATAGGACCACAACCTCTGGCTAACGCTCCCAACGATCGGAATATTCCTGTTATTATACCCTTCTGATTTTCTGGACCAACGCGTGTTACCAATGTCATGATACATGTAACAACCATTGCAGTAGCTGAAACAATATTTTAATTATTTTAAATGTCAATACAGCCTCCTTATTAACTATTCTTATACAATATTCTTGGCTAGTAGAAAACTAATTAATTTATACTTACAAACTGCAAAGAGAAAAATTCCAAAATAAAGCGTCATTACATCTTTAGCGATGCCTATGCATATAAATGATGGAATAATAAGCCAAAGGCCCTAAAAGAAATTAGCTTATGCAATATGGCACCTGATTTAATATTACCTTTTACGATTAATAAATACCAATTCTGTTACTGCTTTAGTTCTATGTTGTGGAATGTGCCTAACCCAACTCCCTTGTAAAATGGCCATTGTTGTGCCTATTCCTAGGAACATCCATCCCTGTTGCATGTGTGTAAAACCAAATGAATAATGGGTTAAGAATGTCAGAGTAAACTCTAGGCCACTGTATATAAATAAATATAAGAAGTAGGTTCTTCCTAAGTTTCTTAATCTATAAAGATCTGCAAAATGTTAATGCAATTGGTACGGATTCATAAATTATTGCTTAATTGAATAAGCGTACCCGAATGAGTTAAGCCAGTGACGCCATTAAACTGAAATAGATCCATTGGGTTTATATAAGTCAAAGCACCCGAAATTCCATTAACAAGTGATTTTGCTCTTTGTTGTATTGGCAAACTTTCTTTCATATTGATTGCAACATAAAGTAAATCACACATGGATAAAAAAAAGGCAAACATAGCTGGAAATGCATACCATTGGCCTTCCCTACTTCCAATTGACATTTTTGCAAACATAGCACCAATCATTGGCCCCAATACAAATCCTACTGAAAAAGCAATGCCAACCAATGCCTGAAAGAATAAATCGAGTAAGTTGTTTTAACTTTTATCACAAAATATTTTATTAATTTTAAATTTCATGCCTTATTATCATACAATTACATAAGTATGATACAATAATTGTAAATTAATGTAACTGCCTTTCAGCATTTCTGTATTACAGTATATCATATTGATATCACACATTATGTATTCTTATTAAACACAATATCAAAAAAGAAATCTAAATAAATTGACAAGGTATCCTATAAAAATTTTTTAATTATAATTGATTTTAATTACCATGGCTCTGCCTCTTGTTGCTGGAGAAGTAACATCGCTAATAATTGCCATAGATAAACTTACGTTGCCTTTACTTATACCACCAAGTACTCTAGCTAAGATGAAAAGGCCAAAATTACTGGACATAGCCCACAATAAATAAGATAAAGCTATTCCTATAAGACAAAGAATCATGAGAGGTTTCCTCCCATAAATGTCTGACAGAGCTCCAATAATTGGAGACCCAAGAAACTGTAAAAAGGAATACATGGATCCCAGAAAACCTAGTGTAAAATGAAGATTTCAATTAATTTTTATACTACATCGTAAATTGAAGCTAAAATTCATTTTTAAAGATAGTACATACCTCCAAATAATACTGTATTCACATTATCAGGCGCATTCAACATGGTATTCAATTTATGAACTTTATTGAAAATAATTGAGTACAATCCTTTGCCATTATCTGTACGGTGGTAATGGTCAAGTAGTGCAGGAAACAATGGTAAAATAATTGTAAATGCCAATAAATCTAATAATAAAGATACGAACACAACGCGAATTGTCTTAGAATCATCCTGTCTCTCACTCTTTTCCATTACTATTCTCTTTGTACGTGTAAGTATTGCAGCCATGGTGATTGCTAATAAAAAAAATTTAACGAAAATACCTATTCTAAACTAAATAAAGTACGCACTGTCAAATATTAATGATTGTATATCGAGGCAAATGGCATCCGAAACTTTCTAACCGGAGTAGCGGCGTCCGTGTACTTCATGGCAACACGTCCACATCACTGGTGAAACGGGCGTTTATTCTTGCGCCGCAAAGAGTGAAAGGTCTTTTTACTTAACCTATTTTCTTGTCGTCATCTTGCAAAGTTGCTTACGTACGTCCTGCCGTAGTCCGTAGCGTACCTCCTGCTCCAAACCCATAGCTTTGCCGCCACAAAACTTTCTTTCGGCCTTGTGTATGTTTTGACACGATCAGCTGTTTGAACCGTCGATAAGTTAGTGGGGGCCCGATATAACAGCGACGTAAGACTTTATCGCTGATCGTATGGGCGGCCCATTCTTGTCCTGGATTCAACAATCAAAATTCAAGGCAACATCAAAATTTGGACGGTCCTGTGTGAGAAATTTTCTAGTTTATAATGAAATGGGGAAAGTGATGGGGAAGTGCAAGGGCTGAACAAAATTTCGATAACCCCCGCAAAAATACAAGTATTTTTTAGTTAATTCTTCGCTCGATGAAGTTTTACGTTATCGAGGCAAATGCTTGATTTTTAATAGGTTTCGCATAAATTTCCATAAATATCGCGTGTCGTGTATTAATTGTATTAATCGTATTAATATTAAGTGTATTAATCATGCCAGACTATGGTGTTACGAATTTCATATAAATAATTTTGAGCGTACGAGTATGTAACGAAGTCAAATTGACAATACCGTGACTATTTCCAAGTCAAATAATTATTGAAAATGTTTATATTTCACTATTTATTCCAATGATTTATAATGTTGCCGAGCATTATTTTTTTATCGTTCGGAGCTAGTGAGTTCGCTCGAGTCTCTTTGTAATCGGTAGTCAAACGTCTGAGAATGAACGAATGAATGAAGCTCTCGAGAATGAATAATCTCGAGTTCAATTATTTGAAATTGGACAATGCACATGTAAGTCAAATTACAAAATATTCGTTAACAACGAGGTATCTCATAAAAAAAAAAAAAAATCATCTAGCGAGGGAAAGCTGGAAACAATCGTTTGAGTAGGACAAGCGCAGTTAGTTATTAATACAACCTAATATTACTCTTTTATGCTAATTCTTTTTATGCTACAGGCACCTGATAGAGCTTATATAATAAGTATTTATACAATAACAATTATTTATACAATAATGCGATCTAAGACATTTATCGCAATTAATAGCTAGTGATCGATTATTAATTTAACGTAAAAATCTTCGTTCGAACATTTTCGCGACTCTGTGACGAAATACGTGCCATTACATAGTTGAATATTTGAGTTTTTGTTCAAATATGAGAACCTAAAATTTATCCAAACTATAGGAATAGTTAATAAGTAAGGAGGAGAAAAAAAAACTATTTTTAACCCATGTATATGAAAAGAATCTCAAAATATAAAACTATCGCAAGGTATAACGGTCTAAAATATTGAATTGTATGTTTTCAATTTGTTTTAAAATTCAAGTTTGGTTTATAGAGCAGATTCTAAGCCCGTGGTAAAAAAAAAACCATATAACAACGATTACTATTTATAAGAGAATTACATTACATTTCCATTAATCATTTCAAATTGATAATTAATTTCGTTCGCAGTCATGCATCGAAGTTGTCGAGTCAGTTAACTCCTTAAATGTAATTTGAATCTAAAAATGTTTTGGATCATTGGGCACAAGTATTTACGCCCATTCAAAGTTCCCCCCCCCTTCTTTCTTACGTCTATTTATTCCGATTAAAAAGCAAACGCTTTGATTTTCGATAATATTTAACAATCGGTCGGTATCTTTAATTTTTGCAAAGTTTCACTCGGTTTCGTGTCTATTCAAATTTAATAATAATGCATTGTACAAATAGAAATAAAATCGCTTCATCATTCGTCGTAAGCGCTGTCGAATACATTTTTTAAAAAGTCAACTACGCAATTCGGCATGATTTATTTTTAAATCTTACGTACTTGATATTGAGAAAGAAAAAAAAATTTCAACTCTATCAAATCTATCTAATCGGCCCTTTACATAAAATGGAAATAAGTCACCCAAACGCTACGAAATACATAAGAATGTCCGCGTTATTCGTTTAAATGTCGATTCAATATGCTTTATCGCTCTTACTAGGCACGCGACTTATATTTTATATCGTTATGATGTATAAAAGCAATTATTTATCATTAATTATTGTGATTTATCTCGCTTATTCGTAAAGAGCAGTCGTGTGCATTCGCATAATTTGAATTACAAGATAGAATAAAATCACTTGTTTTGTCTTAAATGGAAATATCTCGAAAAAGAAATAAAAACTAAAAACTGAAATTGATAAGATAAGTCTCGTATGAAAATAAGTTCGAATTACAAAGTATGTATCGATCGAGTCGAAGAACCGATTGTAGAAAGAACCTGCAGTTGTAACTTACAACACCAGATAGTGCTGGAGTCGCTCGAGCGAGTATCAAAAAAAAATAAAAAAAAAAATAAACGATAAATGTTAAAATTGAAAACTATCATCTCCCCCTATACAACTAACGCGTACTCGTAGCGTGAGTATGAAAACAAACAACCCTGGCAATGGTAATATTCATCCGTATGTACACAAAGTCTCGATCGAAAAAAACAATTAAAAACAAAAAACAAAAAAATGGTCGGAATCCAGCGCCAGCGTACTGAAATTCGTATACATATGAGAAAAATAACTGCTAATGCTCCGCAGTGCCGATGTCAGCTTACTGTTATTTAGGCTCCACCAGTGAAGCGAGAAATAGTCGGAGAATGAGAGTGAAAGAGAAAACGAAGGGCGCACCCGTAGCGTATTATATTTTCTGCCGTGTGCCGTGGACTTCCGGCGAGTTCGAACGAACGCGAGCGAGCGAGAGAGAGAGAGAGAGAAAAGGAGATAGAGAAATACGAACTCACACAGCTTTAATCCACTTCCTCGGCGAACAAAGATCTTTACAAACTTCTCTCGAACTGTATAACGTCAATCTAAGAGCGAGAGTATACTAGATTGCTTTGAAAAGTAATGCAATTTAATACCGCCCGTCTCGTTGTATTGGTACAGTGAGCGAACGTGAACGCAGATGCACGTACGTACTTGGCTGGCTTTCGTTATTATTATTATGATTTATTTTTATTATTGTTATTGTTGTTATTATCATAATCGTCGTCGTCGTCATCATCGTCATCACCATCGTCATCATCATCGTCCTCATCGTCATCATCGTCATCAACGCCATCGTTATTCGTTTCTTTTTTTTTTTCTCTTCAATTATTATTATCATTATAGTAAAATTTGCAATGCACGTCGATGAATAATTAACCCCAAAGCCGTCCTCGTCTCTCTTTAAATGCTCTATATTTGGTGATTCTGTGCAAAAATTCGTCGACAGCTTGGCGTAGCATCGGCCATAACATCGGCCTAATCGTCTATTCAGCTTGATAAAGCTACGCGCTCGCGATCATATGACGAGATAAAGAAGATTTTCTAAACACGTAGCCGCGCGCCACCACCGGATAGAACATCTGCCGGAACTCGTTCAAATTTTTACTACAGGCTTGCGTTTACGTTACGTTTAAAAATCGAACGTCTACTCTTTCTCTCTCTCTCTCTCTCTCTCTCTCTCTCTCTGTGTCTATCGCTCGCTCGCTCGCTCGCCCTCACTCCAAACCCTCTGCCCGCTTGCTCATATACAATACGTTGTACCTGAGGAAAAGCAACTATGTAGTGATATTTTAAGGCATTGCGATGAAAAGCTGAAGACGAGACGCGAAACCCACGTATTTTCCCTACTCGATTAATCTCCAACGCCTTCGCGAATATCATTCGGCAATTTCTAATCTATCGGTCACGTCCACTAGGGAACAACATTTTCACGCGATGGATAGGAAGTTTAGCCTGTTCAAATGACAATAAAGCACCCGTTCTTTCTTATAGCGATAAATTCAATAAGACTGAACAACTAGAGTCGAGAGTGGACATTTACCGCAGAGCTTGAACTTTTAGCGTTTGGACATTAAGTTTCTGTTATTATTCGTTTTGGTAATACAAGCACAACATAACGAGTCTTGGCATCGAACTTTACGCAACGTCTGCCTCTCGAGTTTTCCGCTAAAGTTTACACCAAAGGCTTAGCGTGGCAATTCACTGTCAATAAATTCTTCTTACAGCGGTTAGCAATACAATCGGCTGCATTGCATTCAGCAAGAAATTAATCGCTAGCGGATCGGTACGATTGGAAAAATTCATCGAAAGCTACAGAGTGAGCATGGAAACAGCCCACCCGCCCCCTTTTTTCCCCGCTATCCGTATCCGTCTCGTGATTCGCCAATATTGCCAATAATTGCAGACCAAATTACAAATAATCACAAATAATGGAGGTGAAATAAATGTTCGGATGCTGTTTTCTAATTCTTCGATATATATATATATGTATATGTATATGTATATGTATATGTATATGTATATGTATATGGT